ATTTGTGTAAAAACTGCAGTTAAGGGGCCGACCATTTAACTTTTGGGGGGGTGGTGATTTTGAAAAATAATTTCCTGCAAGGCTATTCAGAACAAAAAAATATAATACCTGCACTAAAAAACTGTGGGAAAAAATATCCTGCCCCAGTGTTTGGTGGGAAAAAATTGTTGCAAAACAGCATGGTTGCAGGGATTGATTTGACCAGTCCCAGAAGATCAGCTGGTTTGAATGTAAGATTAATTTCTTGTTGGAAAACTCCTCATAATGCTGGAAATAGCTTATCTGAACTTCAAGAAATCAAATATTTTCTGGGGGGCATGCCCCCGGACCCCTCTAGATGCTTGCACCTTCGGTTGTCGACTCGGTCGTCTCAGAATCCTAGTTATGTCCTAATCTGCTGCCGTATGACGTATAATTCTTACCATTGTACATGGTGATGGGATAGGGAAAAAAATCTTGCACATAACGATCCCAGAAAAACATTTCCTTCCAGCGGTAAATCACCCCGCCCCCCTCTCAAAAGTTAATGGTCAGCGCCTAACACTTGTTAAAAAATGTCTGGAAACGAATTGTTCGAATCAGAATAATTGAATCTTCATACATTTTGCCCACACAATTATGGCTGTTTATGATACTAACTGTTGTGGTTTGTTTAAAAAGTTTTCCACAAAGTCAGGCAAATATCATTTTCATTTTGAAATAATTTGTTCCTTAACTTATGACAATTACCATGCACATGATGATAATTTGTTCCATAATTTATGATAATTACAGTATTTTTAATATAATAATTATAATATTATTATAATTATACATGTTCTTTTAAATTATGATAATTGTTATTATTAACACTTGTTCACAGGTCGTATGTATCCCTTCTTGATGACGATTGTCTCAGTGATGATTCTGACGATATTCTTCTGCATGCAGCTTTGGAAGAAAGTGCAAGGTTTAGACTTTAGTGGTGTCTGCTGATATTTACTATTACACATTCTAACATACTTTTTTTAAATAAACCAGATACAGTCCGCCTGCATGCGTTTCACTGCATATAATAGCTTAGGTCAGTTTTTGCATGCAACAAGCATGCAGATCTTAATAATGATATTATCAAGACGGTCAAAGCAGGAGGGGGGACTTGAGCCTTCCCCCAATAATTTTCTTTTGTATAAGAAAAACACACAAAAAAACTAGAAAAGTGCGAAAGCAATTCAGATTTATTCTTGAGCCCAACCCCCAGCAATACTGATTTTCTTCCGACAGCCTTGATATTATGGTTACCTTTTGCACAATTTTCAACAAATAGATTAAGTTAAGCGTGTCTAATACACATTGAACTGTGCAATTTACCCTTGCACATGCTGCCAAATGCTAGTTATACTGCCTGATTTATTTTAGAGAAACTGTCGTTCCATGTCAGTCTATCAAGGACATTCTGAAAGGCCATATCAATGGTGTAATGTCTCCAGAAGAAGGGAGAAATTATGTGAATGTTCGACGAGGACATGTCCTAGAAGATGCTGTAGCCAAGATTCAGAAGAAGAAATTCAACCCTAAACTTCCAATCTCTGTTAAGTTCGCTGATGATGAAGGCAACAGCGAAGGAGCTGTTGATACGGGTGGGCCGACCAGAGAGTTCTTTCGTTTGGTGACAAAGGAAATGTTTAGGAAAAGCAGCATGTTTGGGGGAGCAGATCATGGAAACAAAGTGCTCATCCACAATATCCAAGGTATATTTTGTAATTTGAATATACTACCTGTATTGTAAATGGCAGGCATGCATTGTCGTGCCCAGGGCCACTGAGAGCTTGGCGGGGTCCCGGGGCAAATTTTCTTTTTGGGGCCCCTATTTCAAAATTTTTCCGGAAAAAAATATTTTGGGACAACAACCCCCCGTCGACAACTTTCTAGAGAAAAAATTTTACCGAACGAGTACGTTGTAATTGCTTTCCATGCACTTTACCTCAATTTTTCGTACCAAATTTCGGTACTTTGCACATAAAAACAAATATCTTGTACTTTGCGCAGAAATTTTTCACCCAAAAAAATGACTGGGGCCCAGCAAAAAATTTCTACGGACCCCCAGAACCTGGGGGCCCGGGGTAATCCCCCTGCCCCCTCTCAGCGGCCCTGGTCGGGCCTGGAAAAATACCATTAAGGGGCTGTCCACATGTATATGAGGGCCGGGGCGAGACAATGACCGATGTGTTTTTACCGACATTTGGTAGAATGGTCGGCTGATACTTGAACTGTAACGTAACGTAACGTTTACGCTGATTTGTTCGATGTTACGTTGTAAAATGTTGTATTTACACCATTTAGCAAGAACTAAGGGATTGTACAAGAGTTATGGAATGTTACTGGCATTATCGCTTTGTAATGGTGGTAATGCATGTCATTGCCTTAATGAAAGTGTGTATGACTTTTTGGTACATGGTGAGGATGGCAAAGTGTTACCAACTATCGACGACATTCCTGATCACGAGTCTAAAACAATATTGTTAAAGGTACATGTGAGAACCGGCATTACACCGCTGATTATGAGGTTGAATTATGCTGTTAAGCCAGGATGAAACGAGATTCAACCACCGCTGATTATGAGGTGGAATTATGCTGTTAAGCCAGGATGAAACGAGATTCAAGTCATCGCAAGTTTTTACTTCTGACGTACTGAAAAGAATTCAACAAAGCAAACATGGAAATGTGAAATACGAAAAAAATGCCTGTAGCGGAGCCTGTATAATTTTGCTATGGTACTGTAATACACAGCAAAACTTGTAATTTACCCTTGTGTTTATTGAATATTGAAACTTTTTTATAGTTTGCGTTCAGAATATTCATTCCCGCTTTTCCATATGTTAAAAAAGTCCAAACTTGCGTTGAATTGCGTCTCATTTGACCCGGACGTCAGAGCACAATAAAGATCCATACAGAAGGGCCACTTACGTCGGAAGCTATGAAGTTTCGTCTTCGCGCATGTCGCATTACGCATGTTAGCCGCCATTTTCCTAGCCAGTCAATGACATTTTCTGGCCAATAAACATGCTGTCTGCTCCGCCTTCTGGCCAGTAAACTGCATATTTTTGCATAAAAAAAACGAGGACACGTTGCACGGATGTGTGGCTCTTCTGTTACTGATCTTTATTGCAAGCTTAGTGTACCAAGTCTAAGATATGTTTTATTAGGTTCAAGGAACAAAAAAAGAAGAAGAGTTCCTTGAATTAACCCGACAAGATGACCTGCTAGATTTGTTGAATGCTTGTGGCTATTCAGCACAACCGTCTTTTGGTGACAAAGATAAGCTTTTGAGTATGCTTACTAGATATTTTGTATTGGATAAACCCCGAAGTGCACTAGAACAATTCAAAGAAGGTCTGGAAGTGCTTGGCATTCTTCATGTAATGAAGAGATATCCAAAAGAGTTCGAACAACTGTTTTGTTTCCAAGCAACAAAATTGACTGCTTTTATGCTGCAGACACTGTTTTCCACAACTTACAGTCCAAGTGGGAGTAATTGCCGTGCAAAAGAGGAACTGATAGTTATGCACTGGAGAGACGTTCTGCAAGATTGCGAAGGTACAGTATAGAATCTAGTTATTTAATGCCTGGTTGTGCCAGAGACACTCCTTTGACAAGTAAAATAATACACCATTTCGATAATTACGTCATTTGGCCTGGTAGCCTCACTCTCATGAATCGTGAGGCAATCACCTTGCGTAATGTACTGAGAGCGAGGCTCCAGTGTGCGTGACGTATTATCGAAAGGGTGTATTGTCTTATTTTAATTTTATAATTTTTTTTGTCGAAAACCACAGTACAGTCTGTGTTCAGGTCCACCTTGATTTTAGTAATCTACAATACGTTAAACTGCCATGTGCATGTCATACTGTAATGAATGGACCTTTAACCTTATGACTAAAATTTTGATCTAGACAAGTCTAGACAAAAATTTCATCACAGCTTGAAAGAGCATCACAAAATTGGTAATATTCCAAAGTTTCGTTACGAAATGTTGTAAAATGCGGATAATATAGCCTTGCGAAGTTTGCAATTTTAAGTCATTTTAGATTAGAAACGGGAAATTGATACCCAAACACTGAAAATTGCAAACTTCCCAGGGCTATATTATCCGCATTTTACAACATTTCGTAACGAAACTTTGGAATATTACTAATTTTGTGATGCTCTTTCAAGCCGTGATGAAATTTTTGTCTAGATCAAAATTTTAGTTATAAGGTTAAAGGTCCAATACATTATACAGTGTTAATATACGGTCAGTTTTATTGGCAAATCCGCCATTGTGAAAAGTGATAATTGCAGATGTGCGATTACTTGTGATAATACATATAATCATACATGTGCGATTATCGTGTTTTGACTCACCAAACAACAAGCAGGATTAAGTGCCGTGGCGGGTAAAAGTTCATAGTATATAATAAACACAAAAATTATGCGCCAACGAGTGACATTATCCTTCTCAACACGAGAAATAAATTCCATATTCAGACATGCAAGCATTCATTCTCTATTCAGTTCCACTATACGAATAGCATTTATCGTAGTTTTTCTTTAATATAGCTGGGGAAGCAAGAGTTTCTTTGGAAGATGTGCTTATTTTCGCAACGGGAGCAGATGTCATCCCTCCTTGTGGTTTTGAACCACCACCGAGTGCAACATTCTGGGCTGATGTGCGACCACGTGGTAATACATGTGCAAATACAATATGTTTACCAACTTGGCCTGCCAAAGAAAGTGTTTCCTTTGAGGAATTCAAAGATTATTTTGAAGATGGCATATTAAACTCTCCAGGATTTCAACGAGCATAACACTGAACAGTAAAAGCTTTACCACTTGCTGACTTCTTAGTATAACTGTTATTGTGTTTTTACCGAGAAGGATCTATAAATCGACATTTTTTTAGGTAAATGGGAAAAAACGTATTAGTGGGCAAAGTTTGCAAGTTTGTTTTTATTTAAGGAATACTGTTACGATTCTATACTGCTGGTAAAATATTTTACTGTAACAATATCAATAATGTTTATTGGCAAAAAATTTAGTCTTCATTGTTAATAATGTCATTTATTGTAATAAACAAGTCACAACAAATTCGACTACTTGGTGGTACAAGTCCTTTCCATTGACCAAGGACACTGTCAGTGGGTCAGTTGTTTCTTGGAGCTGAAAGAAGTTTTCGGCCGACAATGGACAGGTTCGTGTTCTTACTTCTACATGCGGCAGGGAACCATAATTATTCAATAGATCTTGAACATTGAGTGTTGGATAGGGGTCTGTGTGAAAAAATGAACTATGTAGCTCTGTGAGGTGCCTGTAGGCATGGAAAAGTTGAAGTGGTGTGGATGAACCTTCTGTTGATATGACGTGATGATTATGTGCAGCAATAAACTCGTGTAGCACTTTGTTAATACGTGAAGTATAAACATATTGTAAGCAAAACAAGTCAGTATCATTTGCAGCACTCAAGCACCCCTCAAATTCCAGATCACGAAAAATAGCAGCAAATTGTCTGGTAACATTTGCATTAATATCAAAATTAAACCTTTCAACTCGTTGGTTCCGAACTGAGCTTCCCACAATCACACTCTGTTCCCCGTTTGCGGCGACCATGTTTCTCCACACGTCTGTATTCTCACCTCCGTGGTCCGTTCGCACTCGTAAAGGCCGACCAAAAGTTTCCACAGCTGATACGAAGTGATTTAATACAGTTCTTGCTTCATTATTAGTTGATGTTTCTGCAAATGTCACTAATCTGCTAAACCCATCTATTGCAACATGTATGACAAACCCCCACCTCACAAGTTTATGGTTTCCGTCCATGTGCCATACGTAGTTAGGACAGGGGCAGTCATATACTCGATGTCGTAGACGTGATCGACGTCTCTCCACAACGCCATCAGGATCAACTCTGTGCAATGCAGCCCTCAAGTCGGCTCGTCTCACATGAACGCCTCGCGCTCGCAAATGTCCCGCTGTCATTACCTCCCCCACATTTGGGTGATTTACTTTTATTCCAACCAGTTTGTCATCCAGCTCACTATCAGATATACTAGAATATCGATCTTTATGGCTAATACCTTGCTCTTCCATCAATTTGTAGACAGTTGGTCGAGAAACCCCTAGAAGAGTAGCCATCTGGGTGATCTTGTAACCTAATGCAACCATTTCCTTAAGCCGGTTGGGATCAACATTCTTTTTAGGTCTGCCAACTAATCTGTAAGTTTATATTAAAAAAAAACATTAGGTTGTTTAGGTAAGAGTCAGGAACACTGTAACCAGTGAGAACTTTTATCTCTCAACATACCATACTAATTTTCAGTCCCTTTAGCACATAGGAAAGTTGGGAGCTATACTTGTTCTACACTTGCACACTACTTATTCACTCACACTGTATTGTATAGTTCTTTTTTAGACATTTTTTATATTTTGATTTCTAATCTTGGCATGGGCCGCTGTATCACACTCAATTTTATGGGGGCACAAATATGAGTGCCAAAAACGCAAGCTTCCTAGGGAGTACACGGAATGCTCCTCATCTCAAAAATATTTGAAATTCAGCCATTCAGGTTTCTAAAAGCTATATATGGCCATAGAACTATGGTATAGATTGCATAGTATTTACCTTTATGAAGAGTTAAACTAATGCTCATTGGGATAAATGATAGTAGTGTGATTGAAATAAAGATTTCGAACTAAATATGACCAAAAATCTCTAACTTTTCTGGGGGCTTTGCCCCCTACCCCCATTAGTAACTGTGCAGCCAGACCCCTGCTGCAGCTTGCTCGGGCACTCTGTCGTTTACCCCTCCCCCCAATTTCCCCCACCCCCAAGAAAAATGAGAAAATCCATAAGTAAAAACTCATTGTGATTGATCATTAGAATGATTAGATATGGTAATTAATTTACAATGAATTATCCTAAATGAAGTATCATAACATATGTAATGCAGAACCTGAAATCACAATCATGATCTGGTAACCATGCACTTGTGGAACTTTGATCAAATCCACTCGATCCTCCACCATAGTTTACAGCCTGTCAAATAAATTGGGTACAGTGGCTTAACTAATTCTGCATATATTTATTACTCTTGGTTCATTATTAGAGGGGCTTACCCTGATATTGTTAATTGTGCTTTGTGGTTCATTTATCCCAAAATATGCTATCAAATGTTTGTATAAGGTTATAAAGCTTTATTAAATATATGGCACCCCCTCAGAGGCCCTATGGATGGGAAATTCTGAGGGGGTTCGAAAAGTCATTTATGGGGAGTTATTTCCATCAGGATTGAGGGGTCCGACACGGCTGAGCCACTCAAATCTTGTACAATAGACTCAGAAATCAACAGAAATCAAACCCGAAATCACAAGAGAAATCAGTGAATTTTTAAGTCAGAAATCACTCAAAAATGTCATTATTATTGAACCCACAGTCTATATGACAACGGTCACCCACCGAAATCAGGAAATCGGGTTAGAAATCAAGAAATCGCATTATAAATCAATAGAAATTCGTTTAGAAATCAACAGAAATCGGGTTAGAAGTCAAGTTAGAAATCACATGATTTCAAAATCTTGTCCCAATCTACTCGATCAGGATCCCTTGCATTTTTTCTGTGGGGTATCAAGGAAAAAATTATCAATTTCTGATCAGGGGATGTATGTGTCGGCCCTGTATTCTTAGGGGTTCAATTTTATTGAACCCATCAATAGGCGGGTGTGGATTATTTTTGGAATTTGCTTTAAGTTCAATACAGCATCCATTCCCACACATATATTCTACTCCTGTGAGGTCTGCTGTCAAGGCAGAAGCATAGCCAGGATTTTTGGTCAAGGGGGGCCAGCAAAACCCAGGTGGGGTCAAGGCGCTAGTGACTCGAGACGCAAAGTTCGCACAAGGTATTCTGTGCAGTGCTGGGTAAAATTAATTGTCAACACATGCGATTTTTCACCGAACCCGCGTTAAAAATTCACTGGTAAAAAAATTGGTTTAAACTTCATCTAACCCGCATTTAATACATATTAAAATAATTAGGGTTAGAAAAGGTATGTATTTCAAGCTGTGTGCCACAAATAAGCAAACAAGATTTCAGGTTTCACACTGATTGAACTGATGTGCAGCAAAGCATATATTCTACAGAATTTTTGCATTATTGACAGCATGAAGCTATATAATCAAGGATTCCCTTTTTTATACAATACATTTTATCGGGGGGGGGGCAAAATTTTGCCAGGGGGGACCACCGGCCCCCCAGCCCTGACTATGCCTCTGCTCTCAAGGCTCTTTTGTGCTTGTGGTCTTGTAGTTGTATGCCATTGTAAATTTATATAAATTTGTATTAATTGTCATGTAATAGAAGGTTTTAATGTAGGGAAATTATAAATATAGAGTAGAGTTGTGCAGTTCTTACCTGACCCCGCGCAGCGGTAGCACTCGATGTAGTACTACTGGTCGAGGCGGAATTGACTTCGGTTCTTCCTTGTCTTTGAGTATTTGGTTGCAAATAACTTGCAATGGCACTGGCAACGACTTTTCCCAACTCTTCGGAGTTCACATTGTTCATTATTCAAAAATAAATCGAGCGAAACCGTGTATATTCAGACTCTGATTCTCATGAATTTCTAATTTTCTTTCGACAAACACAACAGTTGGCGGAAAATGGCGGGAAACACCCCACCCCCCGGAAGTTTGGATTGGTTGTCATTGCGCATTGAAGTTGCGCATAAAAGCAAATCTGCTTCTGTGATAAAAATGATTATTTATAAATAAGCAGTTTTGTACGCATAAAAGCAAATCTGCTTCTGTGATAAAAATGATTATTTATAAATAAGCAGTTTTGTAAAAATGATTATTTATAAATAAGCAGTTTTGTAGAAATGATTATTTATAAATAAGCAGTTTTGTAAAAGTGATTATTTATAAATAAGCAATTTAAATGATTATTTATAAATAAGTAAAAATGATTATTTATAAATAAGCAGTTTGTAAAAGTGATTATTTATAAATAAGCAGTATTATAGAAATGATTATTTATAAATAAGCAATTTTGTAAAAATGATTATTTATAAACAATCTCATGCGATATAATGCTTATTTGTAAACAATAGGGTATAATCTCATGCGATATAATGCTTATTTGTAAACAATAGGGTATACCAGGAAATTGTTTACAAATCATGAAAAAAACGGCACGAAAAATGTGCATATAATTTTTTTACATCTGGCGCCTCATATTAATTTGTGAGAGCTAATGAAGAACCGATGTGGCGTAAAACGGAAACACTCAGTGCACTATATATTCGCTACAAAAGTGCTTATGTACGGTGGCCCACAAGTGTCACACGCAAACAAAAAGATCACAACGCAAACAAAAGTCACGGCACGAAAGCAAAAAGTCACGGCACGAAAGCAAAAACTCACGGCACGAAAGCAAAAACTCACGGCACGAAAGCAAAAACTCACGGCACCAAAGAAAAAACTCACGGCACCAAAGAAAAAACTCACGGCACCAAAGAAAAAACTCACGGCACCAAAGAAAAAACTCACGGCACCAAAGAAAAAACTCACGGCACCAAAGAAAAAACTCACGGCACCAAAGAAAAAACTCACGGCACCAAAGAAAAAACTCACGGCACAAGAGCACATTTTCAGCACGAGAGGACTGGAAACTGATTTAAAACAATCGAACAAACATGGCGGACAATTTTCCGGATTTAGGCGAAGAAGATGATCAAGTTGACGAAGAAGATATTGTTCGATACTATTTTTTTAAAGGCTTTACATACGAAGAAATTCGAATGTTCTTGCAGAGAAATCATGGTCTTGAAATAAGCATTACAACGCTGAAACGGCGTATAAAAGCCTATGGTCTCCGAAGGCGAGAGCCAGACTATGATGTTAATGAAATAAGAGCAGCTATAGAGGATATTGTTGATGGTTATGGCAGTACGCAAGGCTACAGGGCAGTATGGCACACATTGCAGCTAAAAGGGTTACGTGTTCCTCGTATTGTTGTACAAGAAATTCTTAAAGAAATTGATCCAGAAGCAACTGAAATGAGAAGAGCTCATCGCCTTAAAAGGAGGGTATACCACAATCCTGGGCCAAATTACGCGTGGCACTGCGATGGCTATGACAAATTAAAACCCTACGGATTTCCAATCCATGGCTGTGTTGACGGATGGAGCAGGAAGGTATTGTGGTTATATGTTACCAGATCAAACAACCAACCTGATAATATTGCAAAATTTTATCTTGATGCTGTTGAAGAGTTTGGTGGGTGCCCTGTTGATCTGGTCACAGACCTGGGCACTGAAAATGGAACAATGGCAGCTATTCAAGCTTTCTTCAGAGACGATCCCAACAGCCATCGATACGTACCATCGCCCCGTAATCAACGAATTGAGGCATGGTGGGGTCTCTTGCGAAAGTCTTGCACGACATGGTGGATCAACTTCTTTAAAGACTTGGTAGCACAAAGAACCATTGATCTTGCCTCAGAGTTGGACATGGAATGTCTATGGTTTTGTTTTGCAGAATTAATCCAGAAGGTCTTGAACGAAATAAAAGAACACTGGAATACGCATTATATACGTAAGTCACGTCATGATACCGTAAGTGGCCGGCCAGATTCATTGTATTACCTGCCCCACTGTCATGGTGGCGGCAACCATTTTATTATGCCAATTCCTGAGGCTGAAGTTCATTATGCTCGTGCACATGTTATCGATTTGCAGGATGACAACATTTACCAAGATTATTTCAATTATGCTTTGCAAGCTAGTAATCATAACAAACCAACCAATTGGAGAGAGGCTCTTGAACTTTACAATGTTCTCAAGCAATGTGCATATAACGGGATCCACTGATTGAACGACATCATTTTCAAACAATTGCTCCTAGACATAGGCTATCTAATACCATCTGAGAGATTATATGAGAATTAAAGACTGTTGTAAACAATTACTTATATAAACATGTTCAAATACACATGCCATATAGCCGGTAAGAAATATCCGGTTATACACGTACAGTATATAGCTCAGTTACTACCGTTCACAAGCAGACTAGTTGTAAGCTGGGATAATTGAAGGCTACCCATATTAGGTTAGCCAAAATCTTACACACCTTAGTAATGCGAAAGCTAAAAAGCCAAGGAACTAGGCTTACACAAATATATATTTGGTAGAAGTCATCGAACTAAATCAAACTGAAATGCTAATTTTGGTGGGATATTCGAACCCAAAGTTTGAAGGTCAGCTCCAATCTTTTTACCTAAAAATAACAGGGCCATCCATACAAATACTCGGCTTGAAATTCATAAATACGCATGTTTTGTCTTGGTTTCGATCGATGATAGGGCGTTTAGTTTGAATGATGATAGCTTTCCACACTCTAGTCCCTGGCCTTCCAAGCGCGGGCGAATTACAGGCTATCATGAACTTGCGGGCTGTCTGTTTCGTAAAATATCCGAACTGGTTTCCCCCTAAAATAATGAGACGGAAGCGAGAAGGCCAGGAACTAGGCTGAGCTTTCCAGGTGTATTTACGTCAATGCCAATGGTAGAAACTCATAAATGGCAAGTGGCAAGCATTAATAAATTGGTTGGTCATCTTTGTTCAGATTTAGATGTGACTACTCGTTGTTACCTCATCACTCGCAGTCAGTCGTACTTTACCAGATATAAAACTCTCTGCTGTCGCCTCGAACTTTATATCTGATAAAGCATTCCCCCGCTGGTATTTTAAATAGTACTTATATAAATTGTTCTATAATTGTAATGCTTTATACTATGTGTAAACAAAACAATTTCGTTAAATGGTTCCCTCTGTTCCAATTTTAGTGACTACACTTTTAGCTGGAAAATATATTAAAAGGCAATCGCCACCAATCATTCTTCCCAATTTTATTACTGTATTAGATAACATAGAACCGTCGTATCTAATCTAATACAGTAATAAAAATGAATTGGGTTGGTCCATTGGCTTTTTTTATTTGTCTTTTCTCTGAATCTGCACATATATTAAATAATATTCAACTAAATCATGTTTTACCTCATTTGAATGTCAATCCAATTATATTAAAAATTGATAACCTGGTAAGAGTTTAATATCAACTCAACTAACATACCATATGATTGATAACTTAACACAAAAAGATGACCATAAACATAAAATTAACTAGTTCTCATATCAACCATAAACTTTAATATGAAACATGCAAACGATGTCACACTTCATCAGATTACCTAGTACTCAAAAACCGTAACATAACGAGCAACGCCTGCAATATTATAATATGATAACGTTCGTTTCATTAAGATACGAACAATCCAAATGTTTTGGAAGTGTCAAAAGTTAGCGAAATGCAACAGAACGATTAACACGGTGTCCTACTTACTTGTTTACGGTATCGTACTTCCTTGTCTAATGCTTGGTGGTATAAAATGGCCAATTTTATACCACCAAGCGCTTATCCAAAAATCAAATGCTAAAATAAAGGCAGAGTTTGAGCCAAAATGTTCAAATTCTTGTTTATATCAGATATGAAGTCCCGTCTTAACCTTATTAACCAAGAATTTTTAACTAAATTTTGTATATAACACAGTTTCTGAAGGCGTTCGAAAATAATGACGACGTCATCACTTTTATTTTTCAAGAATAATTAACTCAGGAGGAACTAATCCTATTGATTCAAATTTTTTTGTGAACACTCTTAATAACGATATAAACAATATATAAAATTTCCAATATTGTAACTGAAATTCCAGGAAATTGGACGGAAACCTGCATAAGGCCCACTTCGGCATGCTGTACTGATAGCAGCGTTGTGAACTTTGAATGGCTGACTTAAATTTATTGATTGAATGATTAATTTGCACAATTTTATGTCACAATACGAAATGGCCCAAAAGAAAGAAATTATGTATTGCCAGATCTGGAAACCAAGGAGACAAAGTTTATTGTTCACACTTACCAATTACTGGATTAGTGATTTGAATGGGTCCCAAAATATAGCTGTATGTAATCTTTCAGGTAATTTTGACACTTCCAAAAAATTGTACGTATTCTTTGCATATGTAATATACAGTAAAGAAATATCAAATCCAACGATCAGTTTTTCGACGGTTCAAATCAGTAAGGGCGGTAACCAGTAGTCAAAATCGGTAATAAGTCTTAATTGTTACTGATCCTATAACTATCCCTGGTTAATTTAAACACAGTTTATCTGTTAGCAGCCGCTTGTCCTTTGCAGTATCCTAGCATGAAAACGTGTTTAAAATGTTCACTCTCTCTCATGTGTGCAACTGGGAGAGTAATTGTTCTTCCGCATGCTCCCACAATTGGGAAGCAGATCTTGTGGTTCTCGTTTCGAACCATGCATTCGTGATCAAAGTTTATTATCATTTGAATCTTCTCTCCAGTCAACGGCACGTGTTTTTGGCCAGTGATCCATCCAAAAACACCTCCAGGTGTTAGGTCTGGTGCTTGTAACAATTCTCTTTCAGCTGTGTCGTCTTCATGGTTGCCAATGCTGTCGGCACCATCATCCCAAGCTAAAGCTTCTGTATAGCCAGTTACGTGTTCATCTTCAAGACTTATTAGTAGATCCTGAAAGTTGTCGACCATCATTTCTTCAACAGCTCGACGAGAACTTCCTGTTTCTGAATAACATGGCATCATACACGAAACAACAAAATTTGCATCCACAATTTTGTTTCTTCCAATCACGAATAGATCCTTGCATAAATTAGCACTGGATTTCAAGAATGCAGGGAGATCGTAAAGGTTGAGGCCATTTCGAAACTCGTTTAAATACAGTAAACGCTTGCTTACAATGCTAATCATCACTGTACCTACGATGTCTTCAACATGAAGTATGTCGATTGCGCCCGTATACCCATGTTCCAAGATTCTATCCGTTACGGCTATGGGGTCTCTTCGGATGTCTGCGATTAATGCTTGCTCGTGTGAGGTTAAATGCTCCTCTTCACGCAGAGCATTCAAGTCAACATCTTGGTCAACTAGCATATCATAAACACACTTGTCCATAAAACATGGTGGTGGGCCTCCTTGGGCAAGACTCGCAGCAACAATCTGCCCACATGTATAGAAAACGCCGTTGTGCACATTCAGCATTGAACTCACGGGGCTGCCATTTGGAAAGATGGTCTTTCCTATATCATATATTGTTGACGTGAAAAATTCTTTTGCCAAAGCTCCGCTATCAATTCCCATCTCACCAGCAAAGCTAACCATGACTTTCTGTTTGGGACTTTCTTTCTTCGCTAATTGACGCTTCCAAATCATCAGTTTCCTTTGTAATGTACTTCCTCTCCTGATGACAATATAAAACTGACTCGAATGATCAACCTGCGCTTCCAATCTTTCAACTATCTCTGCAGTACTCTCGTATATCCGAGCTTCTACACCTGTGCTTGCAGGATCATTTTGGACTTCATTTAAGCAATCTGTTTCATCTAGTTGTCCTCCGACAATGTTCTCGCTTTGTATAGGAAGCGGAAGATTATCACTGAAAATGTTTATATTGTCATCAGTCTCGTTATTGAACTGTGACTGTAACTCCATTGCAACTTTTTCATCGTTCAGTATTTGGGATCTTGCTCTTTTCCTCGAATGCTCGGCGCATCTGTCATTTGAGTCGTCATCTCCGTCGTCATCTCCGTCGTCATCCTCGTCGTCATCTTCGAAATCCTCACTCCTGCTTATATCAGACTTGGTGCATAAGTACAAAACAATCCGTTTGTAGTCTTTTCCTGTTTCCTCTTTGTATCGCTTGAGAGTGAAGAATTCTTTCGTACCAGGCAGGAACAAAGCCTCGTTACCATCCTCAAAAACCAATGAATATTCCTTTTCTTCGTCATAAATGTTGCTTTGATATGCTTTCCACTTCAACAGCGCCTGGGCACATAATTCAGCATACGGTGCTTCGTTTGATACTCTTAAAGCAATCCTTTTACCTCTAGCCGGCTTCAGTTTTCGATCCAGTTGGCGCCACTGGAGTAGCCCAATGAAGATAATTACATCATCTGCTTTGTCCTTTTCTTTACCTTTTACTTTTTTTTTCCACTCGCTTCCTTTTAATTTTCGGTACTGTGAAAAAGACTTGACTTTGCCAACTTTATCGACTTTTTCTGATCCCGAGGCACACCAGGACTTTAAATTGGATGTTGAACTGAAGCTTGGATTGGAGCTTGGATTGGAGCTTAAATTGGATGTTGAACTGAAGCTTGGTTTGGGAGCTTGGATTGGAGCTGAGCTTGGATTGGAGCTTGAGCTTGGATTGGAGCTTGAGCTTGGGTTGGAGCTTGAGCTTGGATTGGAGTTTTGCAAATTTTCTATCAAGAGAAATATACTGTATAATTTTTTAATTCATTAATTGTTTATAATACATAATATGAAGTTTTGCAAATTTTCTATCAAGAGAAATATACTGTATAATTTTTTAATTCATTAATTGTTTATAATACATAATATGAAGTATATAATGTTTACACAAACATTGGGCAACCCATTTTAAACGGAATGGGAGAACAGTAGACTTAAAATATCGCTAAATTCATATTCCAAGGATATTTTTGATATGACAATACGAAATGCTGGTAAAATTGTCAGTGCCTTTGATATAAATAATGGCATGAGAAAAAATTTTATAAACCCAAATTTTACATTTATTGATCGAAAAAAAGGATTTGACCCATGTTGTAATAGGAATTTGTTCGGAAAAAAATTTTTGAAGCTTAGTTTAGCTAATGTTAGACCAGAAAATGTTTTTGACACTTTCTTGATGTCCAAAAAAATTTTTTACACCCCCCTTCAGAAAAAAATAGGGCACCCCCCCCTTCAGAAAAAAATAGGGCCCCCGAAACAAAAATTTGCCCCCAGCCCCCGAATTTCTCTGATAGGCCCTGTACGTATTATATGAGGGATACTTTCTGGATCACTTAGGGAAGGTGGGCAGGAATGCAGAGCAGATGGTAATTAACTTCAAATGGGAAATTGACATGAATTTACATCACAAGGTTCCGATGTAAAATTGACATTAACATGCTCTAGAATGTCAAATTCTCCACACAGTGTCACAGAGCCTAACATTAATTTAGGTACATTATTCAGCAAAATCACTCTCTTTTTCCCACTTGCCAAATATATACATTGAAAGGGATTAAGGTTACAGGACACCCTTTTTGGCGTTTGGCGGAAAATCGCTACTGCGCGCTCAATATCAGTCCGATTTTCATCAAATTTTCACCAAATGTTCTCCAGTGCATGCAAAATACGGTAAAGTTGTAAAATTGACAAACAATAAAATAATGTAAGAGTTATTCAGGAAAATCTTAAATCGCGGTACCTTTACGCTTTTGAGTTGTGCTCCTGCTGGTTTTAAGTTATATTTATGAAAATATCATTTTTATACAGTAAAATAGTTGTTCTAAAAAATTGTGTTCGGAAATTTTTGTTTATTTCGTCATTCCGCTGATATGGCGATTTCTCAACCTCGTTCCCAGGGCTTTTCCCTTTTTGTCATTGGGAAGGCGGGAAAAGGCCCTGGCACCGGCCGGTCACATGACTTTCAACACCCAGATATAGTGGGTGTAATAAATTATAATAATAATGAATTAGAAAATCCAAGATGGCCGCCAACCTAAGAGTGTCCACAAAATTTAAGTGCTTAGAGCGGCTTAAAAATGCGTTTAGTCTTTGAAATTTTTCGTTCTTTTTGCTACCGACGTACTCGAAATCAGATTCTTCAGCTTTTATTACATGGGAACTATGTAGTTGCTGTTCTTCCAACTGGGTTTGGTAAATATCGTTCGTTCGCTAAACAAAATTAACAGCCAAAATATCATAGTATTACGACAGATGTTCTCCAGCTGGACAGGCTTGCCTAAGAGGACATGGAAAGTGTTTTGAACTGGGGATGTTAAACTTGGTTTTACCCTTCCAAAGACTCTGCTGTGCGACGATTGGAGCGAGTTTATGAGGAATATTTTATACAGTGATTCAAAGAAATGTTTTTGCATATACTGTATATGTTATTGATCTATTGTTGAATGTCACTTATAAAGTGCCAATGGTTGGAATATTTATTCATTGATATTTTAAACACATATGAAGTGTTATATGCTCTTTCCTTGTTTACTTTGTTATATGCTCTTTCCTTGCTTGCAGCCAAATGTTGTTGAAGCTGGCAAGCTGCAAAACTGACATATGAGTGATATGACCCAAATATTGGATATGCATCTTAGTTTGCTTCCAGTAAAATGTAAACAAGACCTTAAGAATTCTATACGAGATAAGAAATATTACGTTTAAAATCATGACTGGCAAATTAGCATGTGCGAATTGATGCTTCCTAATAATAGTATGTACTCCAGTAAAGCTTGCTTGCTTCAATTCTTGCTGTTACCATCTGCACATTATCAGGGTGGAGAGTTGATTTGAATTTTTTGTCCCAGGGGATAAAGGTAGGGAATAGATTTTCCATCACAAAAGGGGCAAGGTGCCCAACCAGTTAGAAGATGGCATGTACTTTAAGTGACCATTCATTATACCCTAGGGTGGGGTGGGAGATTCTTATGTCAAAATGTCATGGGACCCCTTTTTAATCTCTTAATTTAATAATGGAGACCCCTCCTAAATATTTAAGACTATATAACATGATGCAATTCTAATCTTCATTCATGTGAATGCCTGACTATGAAGAAAATACATTTTGCAACACAGGGATGGATCCAGCATGATCTGGTAGGGGGGTGGGGGTGCTCTGCCAGCTCTGGTGCCGAGTTGTGTCGGTCATGTGTGCCGCCCGCCCATCAACTTGCTTCACTACTGCAAAGTCTTGCTTTACTACTGTATTTGAATTGTAATTGTTGTTCACAGCTCGCTTATCATCATGTTATTACTCAAATTACTGTATCTCATTTTGCCTGTAATAATTTTTTGCTTTATCATGAAAAATAGAACCCCCTGCACCCCCTCTGGCCAGGGCTAGGGGAGTGCACAGCCCCCCCCAGTAAATCCATCCCTGTTGCAACATACACTACAAGAGCTAGAATGATTGCTTCCTTTGGATGATTTGTCTTAGAATTATATTACCTATATTACAACAATTCTTCCTATTCTGAAACCAGTTGCTATTCTGTTTTTACAACACTCACCCCCCCCCAAAAAAAAAAAGACTCAACAAATCAAGGACCCCCTCCAAGGCAATTTTGCCAGCAAAATAGATTAAATTTGATGGTAATTGTTCTGAGAATATATTAACTCATTGAGTGGCAGCATTCTGCCTAGACTTGCCACAAGTCGACCTCGAACGAAACGCAAGCAGCGAGTGTGAGCCGACGTTTCGTTCGAGGTCGACTTGTGGCAAGTCTACATTCTGCCCTTGAGTAAAATTGTCTGGCACCAGACGGAGTAATATACTAAAGTAGGGACATTGCCACTATAAAGGGTTAAACAAATTTAAAAAAATTTTGCAATGGTCTATATTCAAAAAGCTCAATTTGTAAATTTTAATTGACTTTAATTAAATTAATATAACTACTTATACTTATAGCTACCTTGCCCCAGTCACTTCAAGTGAATTCTACGGGAGGAGGGGGACATTGAAAATCCCTGGGTTTACTTGGTAAAAGCAAGAATTGAACCATGCATTACATGTATATGGAGAGCAGTTTTAAATATATTTTATCATGCAAATACCTTGATAATTGTTCTTAAACGTCTTTGGCTTAGAATGGGTACACCCTCCAAAGGTGTTTATTTACAGGGTCCAAAGGTGTAAATATACACTGTCCAAGGTGTTAATATATAAACAACAAAAACAATGTATATAATTAAATTTTATTAATTAAAATGTGGAATATTTTACAAATTGCATTACCATCCCAAAGTGTACATAATTTATCAATATAATTAGGACTTAGAAGCTGTTCACATGAGTTTGACTCTGACCCAGCACCCTTGGCTAGCTCCCCTTGCCCGATCACAAGTAGAAGACCTCCAACCCCCTCTGACAAATCAGTCCAGATCTGCCCAAGAGGCAGGATTTTCTGGAATATTATTAGCAGTGAAATTGTTGCATATTTTCGAGCATGCATTGTAACCTGATTTTAAAGCCTGTTTGAACATCAGACATTGTGGCAATGGCAAGATGGTCCAGTCATATGAATACAATCTTAAAATATCATAAAAACAATGCAATTTAAGGCCAGACAGCCCAACTCCTGCGAACAGCCCTTTATTACACATTCGAAGCATCTCTTGAGGCATCAAAGTACTGTACATGCAGGCACATGGAATTACATACGAGTATGTGACAAAAGCCCACCATTGCACAACTTTGTCTGCGACAATGCAAATACAACAAATGCAAAACAATCAAGCTGGAAACGGATTTTATCAGTATTTTGATATATACATTATGGCTCATGTCTAAAGACACCTGCACTTTCATATTGAAATTGTTCCACTATCATCCAAACAAAACATCAGAAAACTGTAACATCAGCCAAATGAGCAAATCACTTTTTTAACACAATTTATGGTAAAATGAAGCAACATGTAATAGTATCTGAAACAAAACCAAATCACATATTATTCAAAATTTGTAAACACTGTTGCATATATGATATAACAAAATATCGTCACATTTCTAGTGGTAACTAACTATAAATTAGGCCAATTTAAACTCGACTATGAAGAATATCAAAAACTAAAGGTCATGTTTCAGTTTATAAACCCAGACTTTAGCTTTATAAATATAAACATTATAAACGCTATACGAAGCCAAATATGAAGGCACATTTTGCCCTAAATACTCGGTCAGAGGCAGAGCCTCAGAGGTGTGTTCTAGTACACAATTAATCTTCTCTCACAGTTTAAAACAAACAATAATACTAACCTTCGACAAATTGTGTATAAATCTTATCGAATTTAACCATTTTGCCACAGATTTCGCCAAAAATATTTCTTAGATGGACAAAGTATTAATAATGGTCACTCCTTGCATGAAATATTAATTTATCCCAAAGTTTGAATAAATTAATCCAAGATTGCATTATTTGCATAATAATGTACTTGTCATTGACCAATCAGAATACATAGAAGACCGGCCGGTGCCAGGGCCTTTTCCCGCCTTCCCAGTGACAAAAAGGGAAAAGCCCTGGGAACGAGGTTGACACCAACCTTGATGGTGTTGATGACGTCGAATATCGACGTCATAAACACGAACCTTGATGGTGTTGATGACGTCGAATATCGACGTCATAAACACGAAACATGATGGTGTTTATGACGTCGAATATCGACGTCTTAAACACGAAACTTGATGGTG